TTATTTTATTTTTTTTAAAAAAATTCTTTATTGTTCTAGTCTGCTGGTTTGTAACGGAATTGCAAATGTGAAAAATGAAGTAAATGATGATAAAAATTAATATTTTGTTTTCCTGAAATTGAACAGTGTAGTGAAAATCCTTTTTAGGCTCTGTGTTGGCTTAATTTCACTTCTTTTGAATCCATGACTGATGAAGTAGTCATCAATTTGGCTGTATCAAGCTTGTGAGGCTTGTTTCAATCCGTAAAGTGCCTTTTTTAGTTTTAGGACTTTATTTTCTTGTCCTTCTGCCACGAACTCTTGAGTTTGTTCAACGTAGATCTCCTCTTCCAGGTAGTCATTGAGGAATGCAGACTTGACATCGATCGAGCTGGTAGATTCTCCATTTCTTTTGGGTTGCAAGTGCAATTAGAAATTCTTATGGTATCTAACCTAGCAACTGGAGCAAGGTCTCGTTGTAGTCGATCCCAGGAAGTTGTGAGTACCCTTTAGTGACTAGTCGTGCTTCATGTTTTTGGATTGTGCCATCTGGGTTAAGCTTCGTCCTGAGGGTCACTTAACTCCAATGACTTCCTTGTTGTTCGGTAGATCAACCAGCTCCAAAGTTTTATTTTTCTTGATCATCCTGATTTCTTCCTCCATGTTTTACCAATTCTTTCCTTTACTGCTGCTTCAAAGCTCTTAGGCTTCATGGTGGTAAAATTTCATGTCTCGTAGATCTACCTGAGCGATCATACTTTTCTCGGTGGTGATTCTAGGGATGGTTGTTCGTCCCTTGATGGTGATGGTGTCCTCGGACTGGAAGGTTGCGGAGCTGGAGGTGATTGTGTACCTTCTACTTCATCTTCATGTTCTTCTGGTATGATATTTTGCCTCCACGATGCAGGTACCATGATTTTTTATGTATTCAACTTTTTTTCCTCCTTGTTGCGCGCAACATTTTCATCGAACTCGACATCTCGGCTGATAATTAGTTTATCAGTCTTGAGGATGTCCTATATCCGTGCTATAGCAGAGGAATATGCCTTTCTCGGATTTCTCCTCCAATTTGTGACTATTTTTCTATTGAATGTGGACGTGGCAGATACTCCCAAAGACTCGTAGATGTTGGGCCGACAGTTTTCGTCCACTCCAAGCTTCTATTGGAGTTTGATTTTGGATTGCTTTAGTAGGGTACCTGTTGAGTAAATAGACTCTTTTTTTTTTTTTTTTAACAAACAACACTCCAGTAGGGTGGGGGGTTAAGGCCAAACCCCCAACCTATATATAAAGGCCTTAAACGGGATGAAAGATCTCAAGATCACAAATACAAAGTCTGATGTACACCAAGTCCAACGAATCCAAAACTAAAAGCAAGATAAATATACAATGCAAAGCTGACAACTGCAGCAAAAGTACAAATAAAAAGAACAGATCCTGGTCCAGGGGAAGTCCGAACAAAAAAAATCAGCGGCACAATGTGGCAGATGCGCCAAAAGGTGGGGTCATGTAACATGTATGAATAAAGAGTATCCCATCTGGTCCATCCGTATGAGGGTGCGAAGGTGGAGTGGAATATCGTCAGGGTAGAGAATGCGTCTCTGGGGGGGTGGAGGACCCAATGCTAGCCAGGAAGTCAGCAGGTCGGTTCCCCTCGCGGAAGATGTGCGAGATCCGAGAGTGAATTGACCGAAGGGTGGCTCTGATACGCATGAGAGGGTGCTGAATCTACCATGTGCCCTGGTGGCCAGATGATAAAAGGGTGATGACAGCGACAACATCCAACTCTATCCAAATGTGGGAGGAAATCGAAGCGGCAATCTGAACCCCTAGTTGGGCATGAAAAGCAGTAATAAGAGAGCCGCTATGGTCCCTAATCAGGCCCCCTCCTCCTGCAACTCCAGTAAGTCTGTTAAAGGCTCCATCGGTGTTTAGCTTAACCCAAGGCGAGTCAGGTTTCAACCAAACAACAGCTCTGGGCCGTTGATGCTGGACAGGCGTCAACGGAGGAGGTGGAAGGTGGTGGGTTGGCGTGCAGCCTATCCAGTCTCTCTGGGAGGGTCTACCCAAAGTGGTGAGAAGGGAGAGGTGTCGGTCAACCTGCAAAATAATATGAGAACGCAAAAAATGGTTATCCCTATGCTTTGCATTATTCCTTTCTGTCCAAGTGGCCCAAAGGATCAGACAAGGAATAAGGAAGCCCACGTGTCTAGTGTGTGCAGTGTCTGAGAAAACTCAGATGCTCAAAGAATGTATCTGTGGATGGTATGGGAATATGGATGAATCAGTATAATGCTCCTACACTCTCCTCACAGTCTCGCTCTCTAAAAACAAATGGGAGAAGGTTTCCGCCTGAAAATCGCCGGTCTCAACACAACAGTAGCAACGCAAGGGGAAGGAGAACCCCCTCGCCTGCATCACATTATTAATCGGTAGACGGCGCAAAAGGAGGCGCCATAAGAAAACAAAGATGGTAGGGGTAAGTAGGTCGGTCCAGATGGCCCCGAAGAGAAGGTTAGGCCAGTCACCCAGCCGTACTTCTCCCCAAGTGAGGTCGTAGAGAATGCACCCGAAGATGTAAGTATCCACCTCATACCGTCCAAACCACCCTCCGATATGGGAATCTGCTGAATCTCATCTATCACCTGATCACTAAAGCCCTCTCCCGAAACTAGAATCCTCTCTAGTCTATCTCTATCCCATCTAACATCCGTCCACAGGTCCTTCACATGTAGGAAGGGACGGTGGGTAACATATCTAGTGCTCGAAAAGGGACCCTCACCAAACCACCACTCATCTCAAAAACCCCTCACCCAGAGTCCAAAAAATGTGCTTCTGAGCACATCTACCAACCACGGTGAGACGCCTCCACTGTCTGCTATCGCGGGCAGTGGCTGTCACCCTACAGGGGTAGGCAGCGCCTCTAGAACAATACTTACTACGAAAATACTGAGCCCAAAGGGACTTGCCCTCCCTAAATCGCCACCACATCTTATACGAGAATGCAGTGACGACATCCGAAAATAGACGGATCCCAAGACCCCCCTCAGCGAGAGGGCGACAAACAGAGTCCCACCTCACCCAGTGGACCTGTCTCTCTCTCTAGGAGACCTCCCCATGTCCCAAAAAATAACGCGCCAAAATTTGATCTAACTCATGAAGAGTGGACTTGTGTGGGTAAAGGACCGTGAGGAGATGAAGCGGAAGGGTGCTAAGGGTGCTCTTGATCAGAGCAAGACGCACTCCAAAAGAAAGATGCCTGTGAGACCAGCCAGAGATCTGGTCAATCATTCTCTGTCTGACATCAGTAAAGAGTTCATGCGAGAGGTGACCCTTGTACAGAGGGGCATCAAGATAGGTAATGGAGAGGTCACCCCGCGCAAAACCAGTGCGCTCGTGGACCCAGTGGACCCACTGGTCCGCAATGTGATGATCAAGGATGAATGTGTTCTTTTGCACACTGACCAGCTGACCAGAAACCGAGCTATAATGCCCCAAGAGGCGTATTAGTTCAGCCAGTACATTATTATCCACACGAGTGAAGATAATAATGTCATCCGCGTAGGATAGGTGCGATATGGGAGGACCATAGCCACGCGTGCTATAGGTTATCCTCGGGAAGTCATGAATGAAGCCGTCAAGGCAACGAGACAGATAGTCTGCCGTCAGGACAAAAAGGGAGGGAGATAATGGGTCACCCTGCCGAAGGTCACGGGAGAAAGGGAAGAAGTCAGTGGGGCTACTGTTAACTATAATCGAGAACATGCAGTTCTCCACTCACGCCTCTACAAAGATAATCCAACACTCAGGGAAGCCCATTCGAAACAGAACCTCCATGAGAAACGACCACTCGACCTTATCATATGCCTTAGCCATATCGAGCTTCAGCACAATGTTCGGCGCTTGTATACGATTCTCATAGGAGATGTCATGGATCATCTCCTAAGCCAAGAGGACGTTATCACTGATGACTGGATCCTTGATGAAACCACTCTGGTTCGGAGAGATGAGGGAAGGGAGTAGTGGGGCTAGGCGACCATTAAGGATCTTCGAGATGATCTTGTTGGTCACATTACAAAGGCTAATAGGTCTATAGTCAGACCAAGAACTCGGGTCAGGTCTCTAATGAATCAAAACAACAGAGGTCGCTGTGAAGGACTTCGGCATTTGGTGACCTGAAAAAAAATCCACCACAGCTTCCTCAACGTCATTCTCAACAATCTCCCAGCAGGCCTGAAATAACAGAGACGATTAGCCATCCGGGCCAGAAACACTGTTGGGGTCAATCCCAAAAACAGCCTCCTGATCTTCTCCTTACTAAGGAGGTCGCATAGGTCAATAGGGTCGAACGTCTACGGGATGGCGGGGAAAAATTAAGCGTTGGGGGGCGTAAACAAGTCGCGATCTGAGGTGAATAGGGACTGGAAGTGAGCCACAACCGACTCCCGTATCCGGGACTCCTAAGTCAAGGAAGACCCATTATCCTCGATACAATAAATGTACGACTTAACCTGCTTCTGCCTCACAAACCCCTGAAAGTACTTGGTATTACGTTCCCCCTCGGCAACCCAGCGAGCAGCCGCCTTTTGCTTCCAGAAATCCTTCTCCATAAGGAGACGGAGCTGGTACTCTGCGTGGTAGCGGCGCATTGCGGTCCTATTCTCTGGAGATGAGTCCAGATCATATACAGGCTCAGCCTCCGCATACGCACTCTGAGCTGCAGTAAGGCACTGAGAAATGTCTCCAAAAGTCGTCCAATTCCACTGCTTCAGAGCGCGCCTAACTCTATTGAGCTTCGCCTCCAGGTTGCGCATGCCAAAAAGCTCCGTCGGGTGGTGCCAAGAAGTCCTAACCATGTCATAGAACGTGTGGTGACAGATCCACATGTTCTGAAACCGAAAGGAAGAGCGACGGAGGTGCTCGAAAACTGACACAAGATAAGAAGGGAGCATGGTCAGATTCAATTCGAGGGAGGTGTGTGACAGACGAGACCGCAAACACCCTCGTCCATGCCTCCGAGACCAAAGAACGATCGAGACTTTCCTTGACTCCGACCCTCTCCCACGTGAAGGGTGACCCTTCGTAACCGACGTCAATCATCTCGCAGAACCGCCACTGCCTGAGAGAAATCTAAGATCTCCACAGAGCGGTCGGAATGACCACTAGTGCGCTCATCGGGGTGAAGAAAAGTGTTGAAATCACCGCTAATCATCCATGGTGATCCCTCCATGCTCTCAGAAATCTCATGCATGGTGTCCCACAGGTCATAGCGACCAGCCCTCATACAGCTGGTATAAACCAGTGTGTGGAAGATTGGTTCGGGAAGATGGGCGGAAGAAAGCTCAACGTGCAGGACATGTTCGGTGTCGCGGATGACCCGACATGTAAAATCATGAGAGTGAAAGAGCCAAATTTTGTTAGAGATGTTTCTCACGCCAGAGTGGAAGCCAAGGTAGTGGGAGTATGAGTCAAAAGAGGGTTATGGTTCATGGGCTCTAGGAACGCAGCAAAGTCAAGACTATGGTCACGAACGAGAGAACGAGCGTGAGCAATAGTGGCCTTATTAGCCAGGCCACGGGCATTCCAGGTTAGTGATGTGACTGACATATCAAATGTCAGTGGTGCCACCTGACTGGGTCTGCCCGTGGCTAGGCTGAGTTTGTCTATCAGAGAGGAGTAAGGCTCAGTTGGCTGAACGTCGCGCGGTCCTAGATCTGGTTTGAGGACGGTGGTGGTCTAGGCTCGCGGAGAGGATGTCCTCTAGGGATATGGTCCTAGGGTGGTCTGGGCTCTCAGGTGAGGTATCCTCCAGGGGAAGCGACTGGGGATCTCCCGGGCCAGCAGCGCGCAGGACCCGGTCAAAGGTAGATGTGTGCTTCTCCTCCTGGGAGGGGAGTGATGAATCGACAGGCAGGGTCAAGAGCTCCCCGTCTATGGGCAGAGTGGTAGCATTGGTTATGCACATAACCAACTACTCACTCTCGGGAGAAGAGGAAGGTGAATTTGCAATCCCGACTAAGGGGGTAAGGACGGGAGAAAGCCGCGTATCCTGCGGGTCCTCCATAGAAATGAAAGGGTCATTGACCATCACAGTGGTGCGAGAGCTGGAGGCAGAAGGGACTCTT